TTCAAGCTAGTGTTTAACGGCCATTCAACAATGTTTTTAGGTGGCAGAGACTCACGTCCAAAGCAAAGCAGGGCCAGAGAGTGAAATTTCAGTTAAGGGCCTCGCTCAAGGATTTAGAGGTGAGCTCCCTTCGCTGACCGTGGGATTTGAACCGGCAACCTTCCAAGCATAGATATAGCATCGTAACCGGTTGAACCACACAGTGAGAGTGGATTCCTCAGATTGAACAAGCGACATTTTTATGTCGTAAGACCATCAGCACCTGCTTGCAGCGCCTCACACTGGAGAGACTTTGCTCCTTTTTCAGGTTATATGATTTAGCTTTGATGTCCATCAGCTGTTTAAGGTCAAGAGATAATTCACTTCTGATTTGTAGCACATAACACCTGTTACCACCTATGCTGATGACAGCCATTTAGGTCCGAGCAAAACGATAACGAATATCAACTCTAGAAACACTTTTTTTGCAAAGTTTTAAATCTTTAGTTACCAGAAGAACCTCATTAAGTTCACATATGAATAAATAATGGAACCATCCACTGTGTCATTCATTTGAAGAATAAATGAACATGCATTACGATGGAGAGAAGAAATACCTTCCTTTCGCCCAAATTATCGTTACGGACGAAGGGCACAGCGCAATGGGCCTTTATTTCGGCCTCCAGATGTCTCCTCGTGTTTGGAGTCACTTTACATCTGTTTCATTTCAAACTGATGCTTAAAAATCATAAATTCCGAAGTAGCTGCTCCATTTCATGCACCAATCTGTGAACCATATTGTCTCCATTTTTAGATTTTTTTTTTTTTTTACAAGCACTCCATTCAGCCGGCGACCTAGCTTAGGGTAAGCGACTCGAAAGACGCATAAATGATTGGATGGATGGATGTATGTATATTCTATTCATCCACTTAACAAAAAGCAAATAATAAAAATGGAGTATAATTGGAGTATAAAAGGAAGGAGCACATTCTGCCATTCTGTACCCATAACTAATACACTGTACGGTTCATTTTAAAAATTCATAAAATTCTCAAACTAGGGTCATTCAGGTTAATTGCAACATTTCACATCATATTCCCTGGGACAGAATTACAAACACATTTCATCTCTCTATTACAGCGGAAAGAGCAGAGAGGAAACATCACAGCAGACAGACTTTCTTAACTTAATCCATCAAATACAGGAATGTCAGTCCGCAGCAGATACATCCCATATGTCTCATGTCGTAAGTTCAATCTGCACAGCATTAAGACTTTATAGTCGAGTTTTGTGTTATAAATACAAGGTTTCATAAAAAATGGTTTTACCACAACGCTGAATTTTATTCAATCCATAGTAAATAGCACCAAAAAATACAAGAACACTTACCTGCCCAACCTATCAGAGTCTAAAAAAAAACAAAACAAATACATTTTATGTGTTTCAGACTGCGGGGAAAATATATGAGAAAACAAAAGTGATGCATTGCAACAGCAGAAGTAACACATTCAGTTTTCAGGAATTCATGTTTTATCTTTTAGATCTAGCCTGAGCAGAGTAAGCGGTTACAATATGGATGGATGGATGGATGGATGGATGGGTAAGCAGTTAGAATACAGATGGATGGATTTCCTGGACTTCCGCTTAGAGGCCTCAGACAGATAGTCCTTTGAAATCCCGAAATGAAGCATCGATTTCTTACTCCTCACTCCAGCAAACAGCCCCCTCCTGCTTTTCGGACCCCCGTCCTCAGTTCGCAGTCCCGGACCCCCGTCCTCAGTTCGCAGTCCCGGTTCCCCGTCCTCAGTGCCGCACAGCGGGCAGTCCCGGTCCCCCGTCCTCAGTGCCGCACAGCGGGCAGTCCCGGACCCCCGTCCTCAGTGCCGCACAGCGGGCAGTCCCGGTCCCCCGTCCTCAGTGCCGCACAGCAGGCAATCCCGGACCCCCGTCATCTGGTACGCACAGCGGGCAGTCCCGGACCCCCGTCACCTGGTACGCACAGTGGGCAGTCCCGGTTCCCCGTCCTCAGTGCTGCACAGTGGGCAGTCCCGGACCCCCGTCATCTGGTACACACAGTGGGCAGTCCCGGTTCCCCGTCCTCAGTGCTGCACAGTGGGCAGTCCCGGACCCCTGTCATTTGGTACGCACAGCAGGCAGTCCCGGACCCCCGTCATCTGGTACGCACAGCGGGCAGTCCCGGTCCCCTGTCCTCTCCGCTGCACAGCGGTTACTGGATAGACTTTGTGTGCGCGTGTTTTGTTTTTACATCTAAGCCGTTTCCATCCGAGAGCTTTTAATGAGAAGCTCACAGCTGTCCCTGACCCCCCTACTCAGACAAACTGGTTGAAGTCCCAGGGAGGGGGCATGCGCCGGCACCTAAAGAAGCACGACTGGAAGCTTTCGCATCAAAGTAGCACAGCTGTCTTCACATCATATTAATCTGTCCTCCATGCAAGTGATGCAGCGTCACACTCTGGCATATAGCGAGGAACCTTCTAAGTGCCACTTTCCATTGGCTGGGGATGCCTCCAATAGGCCAGTCAGACACGGCCTGGCCAGGCCAAATACGAAAGCTCACATGTTTAAGGGGAAGCAGCCGATTGGCTCCTTGTGGGACAGATCATTACTTGATTGGACACACACACAGGGGGGAAATTCATCCAACCCTGGCCAAGTGTGTCGACAAGGTGTCAGCCAAACGCCGGGCCCAGATTTGCAAATCCTTGCCGGGAGTCGTCCATGTTCGGAAAAAAACTTTTTGGTGGACGAGTGGAAGGATGTACTAAATGGTGAAAAAGAAAAAATGGGGGTAGAAGAAGAGGTAGTAGCACTTTCCTAGGCCTGGCCGGACACCTCCCAGCCAGGCCCCAGGACGTGGATGTGGCAGGACCCCGCCTCGCCTGCACAGTCTGGCTGCCCGTTGCACTCCATCCCCCTGCTCTGCTGCGGCCTGCTGCCAGCTGAACCAGCTCCCGTGCAAACATGGAGATTCCCGGCGGATTTTCTTATTGAGTTGTTATTTGAAAGTAGTTAATACTTAAAAAGACACCGAGACACATCGTCCAACCTCAGCCAAGGAAAGTCACGATACTTTTTTCATCCACAGCTTCAACAAAATAGGAAAAATTAAAGACTCTACAACAATCCTGCCCCATTTCTAACAGCGCAGCTTAATAGGATACCTGAATTTCAGAATAGTGGTATAACACAACAGCAGAGTACAGATTATCAGGATTGCTGTCTTTTTTACTATGGAATACAACTTTAGTAGGCAAACCTGCAATGACTGTTTTCTAGTATATAGGAATCCTACAGCCAAAGGCTTTTTTATAGCTTATTGTGAGACAGAGAAGCAGTTTCATTCAAACTAGTTTCATTCAAAATTTATTCGGTTTCATTCAAACCGAGAGAGGCTTTTGGTTTGAATTAAAAGCTTGACCCAGTATTACCAAGATTAAATGAGCTATAGACATTACTGTAATTGCTAACAATCAACAGGACAGGTAAAGTTTCATGCTTGATCTGGTCTTGAACGGTCCCTGAAAGATTTTCAAATAATTTCCAGATTCCAAAGGAGAAAAAAGGCCCAGGTTCGAGCCCCACATTAGAGGACCAGCGTAATTTCACTGCCTGATCTCGTGGGTGTTGACTTATTAAATATCACCTGACCCGAGAGAAACTCAAACAAAACCTGTGCGAGGAACAGCGTGGGGAGGAACCTCCTTCTCCTGTAAAAATCAATCCCTCACACTGCCGCAGCTCTCCTGCAACGCACACCCAGCACCAAAAGCTTCCTCCAAATTATACAGACATGTGACTGCAACCATTCAGTATATTAAATTCATATTTTGCCTGCTACTCCATTTGATGGTCCCACAGACCTGAGCCGCCACACCTCCCATCTCAGGCTCCCCATATCAACTCTCCTTTTGTTTCTAGGGATCATGGTAACGGGTTGTGCGATTTCTCTCAAATACTGATCTGTCTCTGATATAACTGACAGTCGAGGTCTTCGGCTAGCACTGGTACACACTGCGTTTTCATTCTCCAAATTAATTATTTTATAAACTATTTACGTTCTCAGTTGCATTATTAAACGAGGTTCCAAAAAGCAGCCTTGAACGGTAGACAGCAATGAATAAAGTAAATTGCTGTGTAAGTATACAAATTAAAGAAAGTTATTAGGAAACGCAGTTAAACACAAATTTATAAATAGCTGTCTCATACAGTACATGGATGAACATATATGATTACGATATTCTTTTTTTTTGTAATTACAAGATGACCATTAAATAAGATTAATTGTAAGCCGCATTTTATTACTTTTTTTAAATCTTTTTTTAAAAAAATTTAAATTTCATTTGTAGGAGCTAATCGCCACTAGGGGGAGTCCTGCGTCTCGGGAAACATCAAAGCGGCCCGGAGGCAGACGGACACACAAACCGGATCCTTGAGTTTTTTTTTTCCAGTCTGTCACGCAGCTCGGTGAAATTTCACGGCTCCGCTTAATGTTACGGTACCGCGTCTGAAATGCTAAACAAACCTCACTGGACTGGGAAGTCGGGCAGACAAGCACATGCCGAAAGATATATTAATGCGTGGGAGGATTGACATACATAATTATACTTAATAACTATATAATAACGTGAATTATTATATTGACATTTCTTGATGATTTAAACAGACGCATAGTAAAAGTAAGATTACAAACCATTTGAACAGTGTCCTTTGGGCACTTGCTCCTGATCAAAATGGGTTCCAATTCTGAAACAGATAACCTTGACTACTGTAAAGTAACGCAACGTAAACACCTGTCTATCAATAACGAGCATTAAAATGGTGAAAAGTGTCAATAGTGCGATTTGGTTTTGACAACGACGATTGGATGTCTGTGTTTTCTATTTATTAAAATGTCACTGAGCACAGACGAGCGGCCCCCGTGGGAAAGGCGGTCTCCGCTCGGCTAGCCTAGAAAAAGGAGGCGTGGAGAGCGCTAGTGTTACCTGTATCTGGACGCATGCAGGTAGCCTACTTGGTAAGAATGTAAAATGTCGTCAAAAGACTGGGACAGATAAAAGAGGCGTAATATACAGGCGCACTTCTATCGTAAAGGATCAGATTGCACAAAAGACGGAGTTACCTGAAGCTACAAGAGAGCGGGTATAAAAAAGCGCATCATTTCGCCTCGGTTTGAAGGAAAGGATGAAAGAAGCGGGGACGGTTTTTTAAAACTCATATTTCATCCCTCGACCCTGTTCATAACCTTTAGCTTTTAAAGTGCGGCCGCAGATGGGATCGTGACTCGGCTTTGAACCTGATCCCCCTTGACAGATCATGGACTGGGGAGGACGAGATGCCCCGCGGAGCCGGAGGGATCCCCGCATCTGCGAGCGCTGATCGAGGCGCAAACACGTGCGTGACTGGATCCCTAAATGGGTCGCATATGCGATTCCTGACACCATGCACCAAGACCACCGACAGTGGATCCTCTACATGTTTATGTGTTTCGGTGTAATCTACTTAAGACTCGGGTGAGTGTTCAAGTATTTACAGCCCACGACCCCGGTCAGATCCACTTCGGGGTGAAAAGGAAACATTAATTACAAACTTGGGAAGTGCGGCGGCATTGCGGACATTTGTCTGCCTTTTGGCTTCCTTTGTTTAATGCCGCTGACATGACCTCTTTGACCCTTAAGTATCCGATACATTCTCTGGCGATATCCATCAATTTGCCGAGCTGAACTGAACCCGATAGCCGTCTGTGTCTGCGGCGATGAAAGACTTATAGGAGCCTTCGCTGAAGTGTTTTTGTGATCGGGGTTTGGTAAAGTAGCCCAACGATGAAAAGAACGTCTCACTGACAATTTAAGTGCCAGATAGTATTTGCTAACCCCAATAAGAGACGCATTATAATTTTACCTGCGATCTCTTCCTGGTTCCATGTTACCTTCACGCAACCCCCGCCCACTCCCCAACCCCCCACCCCCGTTAACAGGGGCTGACAAAGCTGCACTTCCACATTCCTCAGCACGGAGCCCTCAACTATTCTGCAACGCTAATAGCCGTTTGATTCCTGCAGAAGAGACTATTCATTATATTCTTAGCGCAGAACTCACCCAGTGTCTCCAATATTTAAGCTTTGCCTTTTTATAGACTTTTGCGGTTTTTCTCGCTTTTGCTGAATGAATACATTTTTGTTACTAATGAAATTACCAATTAGTAAATACAATGCAACTACATCTTGTTTACATTTGCATTGATCTACCGCGGTGATATTAAACCCACCAAACTTCGGATATTTGTTTGTACTGAAGGTAATTTATACTGGAGGAAGGTGTCGGCGAGTGGGTAGTTAAACTTAACCCATGTTTTGAACAAGTTTAGCACCTACAGACAGTGTCATTCCATTAAAGAAGCAATAGCTCAGTATCTTCCGCTTGGCACCCATTAGCAGCCTAAATGTTAAGACGGTGCTGACTTTCACATTCACGATGAATTAATCCTCTTCATTCTTCTTTTGAAACTAGAATACTTTATTAAAATAAAATCATTCTTAGTTATTTGACATTTCCCATTTTATAGTCAATTGTTTTTTTAAACACATTTCTGCATTAATAAGTTAATCTACCAGTCAACAAAAATTAAATGCACAAATAAAGTGCATGGTACAACAATGTAAAGATAAAAGCCAGCATATAACAGGGCGCTTGTTTCAAACGCAGTGCGCTAGTCGGAGACGGACACGAGCGGGAATGCGCGCGTTTGTTTACTTCTGCGTTTGATTATATGAATGAAACGGTGCCGCGCCGGAGAGACGATCTATTGTCCCTGTTGTGTTACACAAGTGGGCGGATTGCTGCGCCGCTCTGCCCAATGGCAGCCCCGTCTCTCAGGAGAGTAGGGAAAGGCACATTTCTGCCATCCAAATCCCCTTAAACCATCATCATTCCGACCGGGGAACCACACTCTCTAACAGCCCACACCGCTGAGAGATGACAGACTCAATATCCACGGCCGCGGCGCACTTTCGGCCCTGGGAAGTTGGATCTGCACGGAACTAGTGATCAACCCAGCAGCCGCAGAGCATTTACACCAAATCGCTTTTTGTTTTATGCGAGGGGAATAAGGAGTTGCCTTTTTACACCCGAGTGACCATTTACTGACCGCAAACATGATCATCTTTTCATCACGCAGCGTGCTGCTATCCGTTTACTACCCGCAGATCTTCCTTATTCTCACCAGTGGCAGCTATCTGTAAGTGGAACATCTCAGAACTTTCTTACTTGCTTGAATCCAGTTGCTACTCACTGATGAGGTGGTTGATAAGCTATGATGTCTTTCTGATTTTCTGAAGTCCGGTAACATCTTCAAAAGCACAGTGTATCTTATGGGCTAGTGTTGAGTCGATAGGAAATTTTAACACGGGTTTAATTCATTGGTTGTTATCTGGATTTGTATAGCTTTCGCAGCAAGCACAAATAATTAATAACGATCAAATTTGTAGTTATTATGCATTACAGCAGTGGAATTGTCCTCGTGTAAAAACAGGTGGTCACCTAAATTTGTATCGGAGTGTGTCACTTGCGCATAAGTTTATGCACAATCAATTTAACGAAGCTAGATGTGTTTTGTGACTTCTGTTTATTAGACAATATATATATATACATATATACTTATATTTAAATAGCATTATTTTGTTTTTAAAACTTTCCATTCATCCATCTTACAACCACTAAAACTATATAGTCAGGGTTGCTGGACTGCAGAGTCCCTCTGGGATTACTAACTGTTTACATTTAATGCCTTGAAAACGCATATACCATTTATTAAGTTGCAATGCATGAAAAAGTTAGTGCTTTGAATCTTTGCAAAGTACAATATTTTAGAAATACATATCTCTCGCTCGGACCTGCAGTGTTCAAGCAGCGCTTACAGTAACAGCTGGATAATGGCTCGTCTGACCACGGAGTGGCAGAGATGTTCAGGACAAACCGTCTAAAATCACATCCCTGGAGGATTTTTAGTTGCTGCATTTGCAGTTCTGTCGCGGCCAGCCGGAATGCCGCGAAGTAGCTTAGGCTGAGTTTTATGTGTGATTTATGTACGGCATCACCTTGAATTCGCATGCGCCAGCTCAAACAGCGCACTTAGTCACATTAGAAAAAGACGGCAATAAAACAAAGTAAATCGCCCGGCATCAGTCTGCTTGACAGACGTTTGCCCAGTTACACAGTCCTTATAACATACATTAAGAACTGCCGTCTTGCGGATACAAGCACTAAAAGCATATTTTCTCCTTTAAAATAGTACTTAGAAAGCCATTATTCAAAAAATCTTTGTTACATCCCAAACTCGGGACTAAAATAGATGCGGTTTATGGTTGCAGTTCAGAAGTGGAAAAGGCTATGTTGAACCGTGGTTTGTGCATTAAAAACTACATACCATTGTTTGTTTTTATAATTTAAGCCTACTTTATTCGGTTCGCAGAATATCTGATACATTTAAGGGAAGGAGCGGCTCCAGCCGTGAGGGAATGCGTCCCCTTCCCCAACCGCGCAGAGTAAACCCATGTGCCCGGGGTGCGCGCTTGCTAGGATTGTCCCCCTTATCATTTATCAGCGCCATTATCATGCTCACATTGAAATGTACATTTTTTTGCGTGTTAGCGGTGAGTTTTCGGACCAGCTTAAGTATGATCAGTACTGCTACGAGATTTAAAAGACTTGGAATCATTGTGCAATAACTCCAGTTTCAAAGCCTTTAGGACTTTATCTGTAAATACCTATACATCACTGTACGTCCCTAGTTGCACCATCGACTTTGCAAATGGATTTGGTAAAATAACAGCAGGCCTAATGCATAGGTGCATTAGCGCATACCAGATTAAAATCATTAAGCAAATGCAGGTGCAACAGGCCGTAATTAGCAAACGAACGGCTTCTCTGACCGGTTCATTTAACGTTATTTTTGCTGTAAATATCGCAAAAACACATTATTACTTTAAACAGTGAGGAACGCGTAATATTCACCCATGCGGCTTAACTTTTTTGCAGCTTAATTTAATCGTAAATAGTCACTGATATGTGCATGACAAATGCAATGATCCCTCTGGGACCTCACGATTCGGCAGAAGTACGCTAAGAGGTCCCACATCCATGGGAACGTTAATTTCACACGTTTAGACTTACTTTTCGTTGTGCTTGGCGCTCCGCGGTGCTCAGAGCGGCGGCCCGGCGCTTTGCGCTCAGTTTAGCGGGCGTTGCGCCTGCCCTTCCCGCACCCAGACAGCTGACACGGCCGCCTTGTCTCACACCCGGGAAAGTATGCGTCATGAATCAGGACAAAACCATCCTTCGTTTAAACGGTTACACACACATTTTTGCTATCGTTATTTAAAATAGTTTTCAATATAATTAGTGTTTAAACGTTTGCCTTTTAAAAAGATATGAAAGCCTATAGATTAATAAGGAGCAGATACCCTGATGTCTCACTATTGTAGCTCGTATTATAATAGTGGCGAATCCTGCTAAATAATCGTGTAATTTGACCTGTTTATGTTACGCCATGCACAAATTCATCTACTTTCACAATTGAACACGGGGACATTTTCTGTCAAAAGTCCTCCAGCAGGTTGCTTCCTTGTTAAGGGCCCGTGCTGGTAATCTCTATACTACCTGCTGTATCACCTGCTATAATGAACAGGCCACGCTTCCTGATCACCTTTCATCCAAGGATTTTCCAGCACCGGAGCCTGGAATTTTGATCTCTGGAATTTGACAAGCAACATTCCTCGATGACACTTGGATCCGATTTGCCGTCAGGCTTCATATGCACGGCAGTGCTGTAAGAATTAGATTTTTCTTTGGTCAAATGAGCTTTTGCATATTATCTTACTCTGATCATCCTGATTGTAGTTCCTTATTGACTCTTAACTTGTCTAGGGATAAAGAGCTGTGAAATAAAACAAATTGTACAAACTCCACGTTTGATTTTGTACATGAAGCAGACCTCTCTGGGAAATAAGTAAATGGCCCCAGCTCTTGATTTTGATTCCGAAAGGTCTCTCACTTCTGATTACCTTGAATATTGACAACCAGGATCATTCTTCTTTTAGTTCTGTTTGTCAGTGTCCTTTTCAAATGTGGTCTGTAAGAACGAGGCGTCCAATTGAACTGCATCTCCCAGTCAAATATTCCTTACACAATGTTCTCTGGGTCACTATTGCAAGATTTAAATATGCAAAGCGTCTAATTAGAGATGGGGGGGGGGGTTGATTTCACTTCATGTGAAATTCTTTGTGAGTGTCCACACTACTCACAAGCTCCATGCCAGGAATTTATTAATTGGGTGCTTATCAGAAGCAACCTTCTCTGGGCTGAGATTCTGAGAAAGCTGCCAGCGATATCATAGAGGAGTTAGCAGCCCGTGACCCAGCAGGCCATTACGCAGCAGCCCGTGACGTAGCAGGCCATTACGCAGCAGCCCGTGACGTAGCAGGCTGTTACACAGCAGCCCGTGATGTAGCAGGCCGTGACGCAGCAGGCCGTTACACAGCAGGCCGTGACATAGCAGGCCGTTACGCAGCAGGCCGTGACATAGCAGGCCGTTACGCAGCAGGCCGTTACACAGCAGCCCGTGATGTAACAGGCCGTTACGCAGCAGCCCGTGATGTAACAGGCCGTTACGCAGCAGCCCGTGATGTAGCACGCCATGATGTAGCAGGCCATGATGCAGCAGGCCGTGACGTAGCAGGCCATTACGCAGCAGGCCGTGATGTAGCAGGCCATGACGCAGCAGGCCGTGATGTAGCAGGCCATGACGCAGCAGGCCGTGATGTAGCAGGCCATGACATAGTAGGCCATTACGCAGCAGCCTGTGACATTACCTAGAGTGCACAACACTGTAAGCAGGAGTGGATCAAAGATTGTCACCATGATTTTCATCATTATTCTCCATGCATTTGTAGAAAATGACAGCATAACTCACTGTGTTTTAATTGTTCTCGGGGACGAATAAAGTTTTTTTAATTGAATTTAATTGAATTGCATTGAACTCCAGCTCCAAATAAAAACATTTTTTATCATGCTTGAAGAGATGCAGAATTCAGTGTGTAATACTGTATAATCTCACAGCAGCACAGTATGTGTTGTCTGCTAGAGCTACATACGATCCATCAAATATATTGTGTACATTTTTGTTTGCAGTGTAGTTCCCAAAAATGTTAAGACTGCAAAGCTCAGATATTCTTCTGGCAGATTATACGGCTTTAACACAGTTTCCTTCTGACAGGGAATTGACAGAAATTGAATGGAAGTACTTTAGAGACTTTCATAATAAACAGACGCATTTCTTGGGCCATTAACACATTTGTTGTGGAGTAAAGTTGCTTTTTCACCAGTTTTTGCGTTTCAGATTAACTGACATTCATTTCCAAGCTAATGGTTAGAAACGTGATGCATTCTGACACTGAGGCTGGTTTCCATTGTCGGCTGCTTCATGCTGCATGTTTCTTGCGTGTTTTATGCATTGGCTTTAGTTGCTAATAAGAATTTTATTTATTTACCGCTGGGTAAATCTCAAAAGTAATATGTAATGTATGAATCATTGTTTTCACTAAAGGTTATAAGCTCAGACATTGTGCGTTATCTACAAATACTGTTGTTTCTTAGTAACCAGTTCACTAGAGGAAGGCATTAGGTGACATTGTTTACAGTGTGTGTGCATAGATTTTTCTTTGTGATCTCTCTCTGTCTCATATACTCACACACTCATTCAATGTGCATAGACACAAGCAATTATGCAAGTCTGTTTCATTTCGACATGACCACCTAACCAGGCTTTCCAAGATGGATGATGTTGGACAGTAGAGTGTTTTCACCAGACACATTTTGTACCTTGCGAGCAGCCTGCAGATGCTTCCTTGTCCAAAGCTGCAGCTGAGCTCAGAATTCCCCTGTCGATTTGTCCTTCCAAGGTCTGGTAACTCTTCAAAGCTAGATGCTCTTCCAAGGATTCTTGCCTTCAACATGGTTGATAGTCCTGCTAACAGCCCAGAAGTCTCCAAGCACAAGGTGTCCGTTGAGCTTGGGGACATCTGGACATTAATGTCTGCAATGACGTCTGATATGGGGTTGGTCAGATATTTAACATTTTTTTAGCAAGTGCTTTAGTCCAACGCAACATTTTTGAGACATCAATTAGGGTTAAGGGTCTTGATCAAAACCCCCATGGTAAAATCACTCTGCTCCCCCTGGGATTTGAATTGTTGATCTTCTGACCAGAGACACATTGTTCCACCCCACTAACCACATACCTGGTACCTGACTGACAGCTGAAAGGAAGCTTTATGACATTATGACTCCAGTTAAGCAATTAAGAGCCAATGTTCAACCAAACCCAACAAATCCTCTCAACCTGCACGGTTTGTCATGGCAATGTTAAGGGGTGCAGTAACATTCACGCCCTGAGAGGGGCATGCTAGTCTCAAATCTGGGCTCGTTTTCAAATCGCATCCTTACCAGCAGAGAGGCTTGGATATCCTCTTGACTTCTAGTTACAAATTTCTCTGGGCTGTTTGTTGAGAAAAAGTACAGTGTCTGCATCTCGGTGAAAAAACTAGACTTGATTTCATTCATCAGTGTATGCGTAGAAGCTATGATGTGTTTGGATGGTATTTCGACCCGATGCTCAGCCAGGCCCTGCCCCGCTGATGTTCTTGGTTTTCCTGCTCTTCTCCAGAGCGCTGTCCTCAGTGGTGGCCCTGGGCGCCAACATCATCTGCAACAAGATCCCGGGCCTGGCCCCACGGCAGCGGGCCATCTGCCAGAGCCGTCCGGACGCCATCATCGTCATCGGCGAGGGTGCGCAGCTGGGCATCAATGAGTGCCAGTACCAGTTCCGCTATGGACGCTGGAACTGCTCGGCCCTGGGGGAGAAGACGGTCTTCGGGCAGGAACTCCGAGTAGGTCAGTCTACTTTCCGGGGCAGGTCCGTGACCAGCATGACGGCACACAAACTGAAAAGCAAGGGAGTCCTGCATGGTGACAAAGCACCCGATGACAGGGGGACACGCACACAACGACAGATGGATGTGGTGTCAGTAGCATGGGGTGACTGTCACTCACGATGACGGACAAACACGGTGACAGAAGGCCTCGGGGATGGGGGACACAGTGATGGACTTCCATGTGGGTGGGCTGGATGGGTATCAACACGCCAACGCGGGAAGCGTCTGTGGGAAAACCCAGCACTCCTGATCCAGCAGGAGATTAAAATCAGCTCTCGGTGTCCGAGCTGTTCACATACATCTGTCAAAACCGCGGATTCCTCATCACGCAAAATGGGAAGATATCCCCAAAATGACTTTTTAGGGATTTTGTTGAAAGCAGTTGGAACCGTACTCTTAACACCACACTGCTAGTCTTGATGTTGATGGGGCAATGTACCATAGAACTTTTGGGGGGGGGCGGACTGAAAATGCAGTGATGACTAGTCACAAAATAATTTCCTACAAATAATGCAATTCAAACCAATAAAACTTTATTAATTAAAAACCTGAATTAAAATGGTTATATCTGAGTTTTTCAAAAGCAAACAGACAAGTTAAGTTGACGTGACTTAATGGCTCCCTCCCCCATGCACCCCCCCCTTCAGATGAGTTCCACGGTCCATGGATGAGGCACATTATGGTCGAAAACATGGCCTTGTATTCTTAGTTCTTCAGATTTTATTTCCTTTGAAAAAAGGTGCAGTATAAATGATATTGTAGATTAGGGAGTTGCTAATTGCATTGTTTCAGAAAGAATGTTTCTGGACAAAAATAGATGCAGACATCTGTTGTTAATCCAAGGATCCCAACCGTCACAACTGCTCATATTCACAAAGTGAGGATATATCCTTGGACCATATTTTAACACACCACTCATAAATTATATATTGGTCATAAATTATTCATTGTTTTACGGCCAGCTTTAATTCCATGTTCCTTAGCATTCAGCCATTTTGGAGGATGACCCCAGACTCTAGGGAATCAGGAACTTGCAGAAGGGTGAGGTCGCTGTTTGTCTGTTTCTTTAAATGATCTGAGATGAGGTGCTGGTTTGGAAGGTCACTGTGTGCATGAGAGGGCAGCAAGGGCATCTGAGAAGGTACAAATCTCCTGGCACCTGTCAGCACTGGGGAGCACCTGCCTATAAGGGGAAAAGACAGCATACCATTAATGACTTAGTAGTGATGGACAAAATGGCACTTCATGAACCATTTGCTGTATTTTTTGACTCCACTAGATGGCGCGCTCTGCTCAAAAAAGGACACAAAGCATGCCCTAAAGCAAGCCAAGAGCACCATCTAGTGGGGTAAAAAAATCACCAAATGGTTCGTCAGGCTTTATTTTGTCCATCACTACTTCAAAGGGTTTGTTTGGTCAAAAAATAATGAGTACAGATTAGTGACACTTTATTAGCCCCCCTGGGGAAATTCTCTTTACATCTACCCCTGCTTGCTCTCCAAGAGAATTATCTGCCTATGGAAAGGACTGAAATTTCAAGCAGTATATGAGCATAGCATGGGCGAAACCATAAATAATTAAATGATTTCAACAGTGCCTGTTGCTTTTATCGTGTTTCCCTTTGGGGGAAAATGGTTTGGTCTAAAGTGATGTGTGCTAATCTAACAGGTCCACAAACTAACGGACGTGACCTTTTCAGGATCGCGGAGCCCAGTCAATGGAAAGTAATTAAACCTTTTTGTATCCTACACTCTTAAATACATAGATGGATTTTACAGAAAGGGTGCCGATAGCCGCTTATGACGGCACCTCCGTACTGGCAGATCTACTTGACAGAAACGGTGTTTGACGTATGGTTAATGTACAAATGGATCAAAGCGTGTTTGCGGTTACATCCTTCAACAGTCGGCCCATTGTGAGCAGGGCACAGCTTTAAAGCGAAAGGCTGTTTACGCAACTTCAAAGTCCACCCAGCAGCGTCTCGATTCATCTCTACAGCCCCCACCCCCCGCCCCACCCAGCACATCAAGCCACGAAATATTATAAATGGCAGTTGCACTGCCGTGTGGTGCATTGGGCCACAGGTGCGATCTGTCGTGGGTCCAGAAAGGTGCAATTGAATCGCTTAGTAACCCTGGACAGGCTAATGGAAAATGCAATAAATACTACAATAAATACTACAATAAATACTAGTCTCAGAGCGACCCAAGATGTGCAACGTCTCCAAGCCCTTATTACAATGGTGCTGTTTTACTATAGTTACTCATTGTTGGACTTTCTTAATTGTTTGGGTTTTAGGGTGCTGAAATGATTCATCTTTGTTGTCACTTGAGAGACATTGCGTAAACGTACCAGCTGTTAGCTTTAGCTGTAGACGGAGCTGTCAGAGCCCAGGGTAGCCTCTCTCTGTATAAACAGTATCAAACCTCATACACAAGCTCGTACAAAGTACTGTGGAGGACAGCGGCCATGATCTGTGAGTAGCTTCACAACAGAAGAATCCACATTCTCGTAGCTACTGTTTTGGTGTAGTAAATGATTATCCCAACCGAGCCATGCATGCGGAGAGGCTTTGCGGTCTCCTTGACCTGCGATGACTCCCACTGGCTTTGCACCTTCTCGTGGTGGCGTCGCCTGCCAGGCAAAGTTATTTCTCGGGGGTCGGCGGCTTGGTTATAGTGAGGAGAGGGGCCTTGAGGGAGAGTAGGGAGCCGGAGTAAGCGGTCCAAGGTCTTCATCCCTGCAGGCGAGCTGGCTTCAGGGAAAGGAAAACACACTTCGGTACGGAATGTGGTAGAGCCCCACCCCCTCCCCCAGTTACCCCCCTCTCCCCCCACACCAACAACGTGTAAGCAACCAGCTCGATGAAAGGTGTGTCAGTCAGCAGGTACATTTAAGTAATATAGTAAAAGCCCCACACAGAGAGGAGTGCTTCAGTTTAAACAGTCTGCAGAACATTGAGAAACATCCTATCCAAATGTGTGGGACTATTCCAGGTACACAGCTCTGGTACATAAATCATACTTCATGCTACATATCACAGTATTATCTTCTGGCATGGACGACCTGAACAGGATCTGGTCAGTTTAACTGTGTCTTAAGAAGTATTTTTTTTTAAATCTGTGCTGTGGGAATATAAACTCTGTGCATTGTCTAACACAGAGCAATCCAACTGCATCTTATGCTGGCTACTGTTGCAACAAATCCTCCTCTTAGATCGAAATGACTTGATTCTGCTGCAAAAATATAATTATTATTATTATTATTGATGATAATAATAATACGTTTTATCTATATAGCGCCTTTCTCACACTCAAGGACGCTTTACAATACAAACAAAGATACAGAAAACAATGCACACGCAGCAACAACAATAACAACAGAACAACAACAAGAATGTTACGTAGTAGCAGTTACATTATAGCAAATAAGTTTGAGCGGGATGCATCTCCCAGCGACCATACCGGCTTATCGGGGTAACTCGTCGGATTTAAGGTAGTCTGGACAAAATGTAAGTGAAGGAGTATAAAGTCTATTTAAACTGTGGTACCTTAAATCCATAAAGAGACATTTATTCCGTGATGCGCTCTGATAGTAAAGTGTACAGGTGCCGGCAGGATTGGAGCTCGTGTAACGCAGAGCTGGGGCTTATGCACACGCAGGTATGTTACAAAAGTGATACGGTACAGGCTTCACGGGACAATTACAATATTGTGTATTAACAGACTGCATTACTTGGGTGTATTATCTGACATATATACAGATGTGTTTTCAAGAATCATTTATTAACGTACATAGTTTTTATATTGATGTAAACATCAATTCATAAGGAAGTGAGTAATGTCGTGCAATTGCAGTCAGTTCCCCAGATTTGTGTGTGTTAAAGAGCAGCAAAGTGGTGCAGTGGTTTGCACTGTTGCCTCACACGTCTGGGACCAGGGTTCGAGTCGCTGCTATGGCCATTGCATGTTCTCCCATTGTTGTGGGGTTTCCTTCAGATTCTTTAGTCCCCCTCCCCCCCAAAAAAAAAAAAAAAACTTTTCAAAAACATGCTGGGATGAATTGGAGCTGCCAGAATTGCCCCTAGGTGTAAATGGTACGGTTTTGCCACCCTGTCCTGAACGGTTCCAGATCCCCCGAGACCCCGCATGGGACAAGCGTGTCCAGAAGAGGGATGGATGTGTCTATCGTGGCTTGACTTTCAAAACTGAAGTCAGAGCCCAGCCTGTAAAACCGCTTCAGGTGGGGGCTGCATATGCCGAGCAGGAAATGATGTCAGTGAGTGAGATGGCTACTGCATCATGCATATCATGTAGCTTTTGCCATTGTGCCAACTACAGAATATATGGCCATTCATGGGTTTTTGCAGGATAGTAAAAGCCTTTCAACAGGTTCAGTTCTAGTATAGCAGCCTTTTCTGCTAACCAGCCTTATACTGGTCGATTATGGTCAGGGGAACAAGGTCCAGGGACATAGTGTTTTGGAGCAATTGGCTGTAAATGCAGCAAGTAGGGGTAGCTTTAGGGTAACGTGAAACTTTTCTGTTTTTACTTAGGAGTAAGATACTTTGATTGTATTAGCATATGTTTTTAGATGGTATGAAGGTTTCTAACCAACAGACGATATCACTGTCTGTTCAACTGACAGAAGCACAACTTTACATGGAGTAATTTGCTTTTCTTTTGTGGTAAACTAAACAGCTGAAGTCCGCCAGAATGAACATTATACTCACATGCATCTGACAGTTTAAATATAAAATAGCCAGTCTTAAATATATCAAATTTTTTTGTCCTTTTTTCAGCATTTTCCTTTGATTTGTGGTGAAATTATATAAAAATTAAATGCAAAAGTAATAGTTATGTGGGATCTGAAGCTAATTTTGAATCTCTACCCCCAAAATCTCAACAATATTCCAAATGCTCTTGTTTTATCAAAATAATTAGCATGTGGGGTAATGCA